CTTTACTGTGCCTTGTTCCTGCTCAGCTCAAACCATGGCTTCTAAAAGAAAACTCTCCTGAGATCGCCGAGACCTTTGTTTTCAAGAAACACAATTTCTAAGGTCATATTCACTTAAAAAGTTCAACTCAACTTCTCTTTCAAGGATATCAGATCTCTATTTTGTCAGTTCTATTGCATGCATGCAGAAAAAAAAAGTGCATTCCTCAAGTAAAATCAGATACTACTGCACTTTTTCTTGAGTAATGTTAGCTCTGCAGATAGCAATGACAAGAATTTATCAGTTTTTAAGAACTCAATAATCTGAAAAACCAAAAAACTTATTTGCAGATTTTTCACATTTTTAAAAACACTCAAAAGAAAAAAAAATATTCTAAAGTGGAAATGAACTTCGAAGCACTTCTTTTGTTTTTTAAAGTGTCCTTTCAAAAAGATATATACCAACATATCTACCTCTTAAATTACCTAGTCTTCACATTGGAGCATTATGCTGAATGCATTAAGCTTGAACATAGGAGAGCTCCTGGCACGCCTCATCTGGGAGTGACATTGTCACAGTCTTGCAGTTCAGTCTGCTTTTATTGGTTGCAGGAACCAGCGTGATGGGAACTAGGGGAAAGGGTGAGAGTTACTCCCTTCTACACGTTCTCCAAACTTCTATGATGTGAACAGGTCACGGCGGGTTAGAACAACAAAACAGCATGGCTTCTGGACAGAAGTGCTCAGCATCACAGGATTAGTGGGCTGCAACAGCATCTCAGTTAGAAGCAAACTGAGGTCAACTGCCAGGATTGTAAAGTAAAATGATGGGGGGGACACTGTCAAACAAGGAAAATGCACTTTCTTGCTTAAGATAAATGCAAAATCTTGCTTAGTTTCCTAAATCTACGTAAGGATATCGAATTTATATTGTAAAGTAAAATGATGGGGGGAACAATGTCAAACAAGGAAAATGCACTTTCTTGCTTAAGATAAAAAGCAAAATCTTGCTTAGCTTCCTAAATCTATGTAAGGATAGCGAATTTATCGTACACTAAAATCAGCAGAACAAGTCATTACCTGGCTGGATATAAAGCCTTCTTGTCCTTGAAAAGTTCACTTGCTTCCAGTTTTTCTTCATATATAAGCTTCTGCTGATCTGTGAACTGGTCTCTGTACTTTTTACACTACAAAACATGATATATTAAACAAACCAAAAAATTATTCTTGCAAATCTGATTTGAAGCAGCAGCAGCACCACAGCCTAATGTTTGCTTATTGCTCAAGATGCACATTCTTTGTATACTTCTGAAGTGACTCAGCTCCATCTTACATGCCACTCTGGCGCAGTAACAAACAGTAGAGGTGTTTTTCTGCTCCACCATTCCAGATACTTTTGCATTACACCAAAAACAATCTCTAAAACATATAATTTAAGCATGCTGCATCTGGACATCAGCTTAATCTATCAGATACCAGTCACTGGAAGACTCTGTCTAAAAAGGTTCACAGAAACATCTACAGTTCTACAATTGCAGAAGTTTATGTAAACAGGCAGAAAGAACAAAACAGCTGAGAGGATGAATTTTGCAAAAAGAAAAACTGTTCCTTGAAAGTTCACAGAAACCATAGCCCACAAGATCAGTAAAACATCTCATCAGCGCTTAGACAGATTCTTGCTGTTCTCTCCATCCAAAGATCCAAAAAAAATTTCAGCTAACCACAGTTCATAAGTAAAAAATTCCACCCGATACTTCCAGTGTTGGTCTAAGAGCTAGTCCCAGTCCTGGCCATGGACACAAGTATTATAAGCTACCAATTAACTGGCAACAGGCATACTGCTTTTCTATTAAGTTAAAAGGTGATGGCAGGAAGCAATCCTCTCTCCCTAGCCCCAGAAAGGAGCAGGTAGGATAGTTATCCCCCGTGCAGGCCAAAGACAATGATCAAAAGACACACTTCTTCCAAAGAAGTAAAACATCCTGTCTGGAATGAGAAGAAATATATCCTAAAAATAGGCTCTTAATGAACAACACAAAACTACTGAAAATCATGTGATGAAGTTTGGTACAGACTGGAGGAGAATGTGTCCTACCCTCCACAAATGGAAAATCCTCTTTAGTTCCTTGTGGGTTGAATCCAAGAAAAGGTAAGGTCTCGCTGGCCAGTTTTTATCTATTGGTGATAAAGAAGGCATCTTATTCTTCATTTCCAGAAAGTATTTTTGCATCTGTGATAAAATTGAAGCAAGATGTTTTATTAATGTTCAAATACCAGAGTTACTGAAATAAGCAAGAAAAAGCAGATGGTCTGTGATTAAAAGCACAGTTACCAAACTGCAACCCTCAGCTTTCATAAACCTGAATTTGGATTTAAAAAGCCAGGTATACTGAGAAATGCAGATTTAGATATCACACAGGTGTGGGAAATGCTTAGTACCATTACCACACCTTCAAAACACTATCACTATCCTTCTTTACAACACCAGAATATTGAAGTTGTCGGTTTTCCATATGCTTAACTTGGATATTTCCTTACAAAGACTATCAGGGCCATAATACAGCTGTTACTCTTGCTAGAAAATAAAAATTTTAAACACAGAAAAGTTACATGTACTTTGTACAGACATATACATACAAGTCTCTGAAGGGTAAATTCATAAATTTTTCTTCCAGCGTTGGCTCTGAAGAATTTCCTGTACTCTCTACGGACCTGAAAAGTTAAACACACCCTTAAAGTGGATACAAAGAATGAGTTTGTTTGCACAGGTACTTTTTGTAAAGCTCTATGTCAGAAAATACTAAAAAAACCCCATATAAACATGCAAAGTTTTCCCTGAAATAGGAACATGAACTGAGTACACTTAAAATATATGAACCAGACTGTGGACCAAGAGGTCAGAAAGTTACCTCAGATGACCTGAGTACAGTCATTTGCAAATTTAACAGAGTATTTTAAATACTTTCCTATGAAAAGGCAAGCTATTCAAATATTGTTGAATTCACAGCATAAATCTATCTTCCTAGACTTTTGCACAAAGTTGGACTGGAAAAAAGTGAGGTGTCATCAGTGAGACATATTTTATTGTGTCTGAAGTGGCACTGAACTGCTGTTAGTTTCTCCTTTAAGATTCTTAATACATGGAGTTTTCTATCATAAAAAGGTGGGGTTTTTTCCAGAGCAGACTTATATTTCAAAAACTCTTTTCACACAAGCAGCGTTCATTCTAAAAGGAAAATAAGGTTTTGGTGCTTGATAAGAGCAGAAAATCAACACAAATGTTGCTTATTGTCAGCAAGTTTGGTATTTGCTCCTAAAGTTTATTTAAAAAGAAAAAAAAATCAAAAAGTAATCATTGAGAACCATTTTTGCAGGTGATACTAATTTTTTATACGTGCTTGTAAATGCAGATTTCAGAGTACTTGTTTTGCCCTTCGTATTTCTATCAGTTCTAATTAGCATAGTATCTAAATTTCCCCATCCGAAAACCCCATCTGAGAGTGAGCACCACCAGTTTGCAGCTTTATGCGAAGCCCAGGCTCACATCAAGTTAGCTGAAACATCTCCTATTTTTTTTTTTTTTTTCAAACTTTGGCACAGCCTGCAACACACCTGTTAAAAGTTTTGAGTAAAAACCAGGGAAAACATCGTGGCTTTGCATAATTTACCCCAGAGCAAATGTAGTGGTTTTAGCTAACACACTGTGTTGCTGAATTCACTGTAACCAGAAAATAAAGGGAAACCCATAAAGGAAAAGCCCACATCGACTTACAAGAAAACACTTGCTTGGTTTATCCTGGCACACCTTCTGCCCCATACTGAGTGTCGTGCATTTTAAGATAAGACAGCATTTTGAAAGCGAGAATCTGTCACCATTCTGGGATTTTAAAAACCCCACAGATAAATGGGTTTTGCTTAATTACACATTAAGATGCATGAACAAAACAGACAGCATTCAGCTGTCTTCATTCTATGCAAATACAGCAGGTAATTTTTTCCTCCTCACTTTACAAGAAAAAATATTAAGAGTTCTTATTCACTGATTTTCTGTAAGGTGTAGTGCTCTGTAATTAGTGTACATCCTTTATTTATTATTCAGGGATGGAAATTAACACACTCAAAGCCACTCTAACCACAGTCATCCCAAATCTCACCAGGTTCTCATAGACTGTCTTTAATGATGCTGCTTTATATTATTCTTAGGGAGCTGCAAGGTGTACAAATTAATTTGGAACAAAGGGACTAGTATACACCCACACATCCTATTGGTGCTGCAGGGAAGCTGCAAAGCAAGCACTGAGAAATGCAAGCCATTCCAGAAAAGCCTAAATCTGGAAAGTATCACAAATGCTATTAAAATCTACTTATCATACAATGAAAAAAAAAAAAGAGACTCAAGAATTAATGGTTTAATCTTGATCACTTGTATCAGCTCTTTAAATCTTCATTTTCATATTTCATAGGTGAAAATACTTTGCCATCAGACAAATGAGAAATGCCTGTGGTAACAGTGGTATATTGGAATTATAGACTACGTTCTTATTAAAAAAAATCTGCGTCTTTCAGGTGAGACAGAAGTGCTGCTTACCCTATTTAAAAAATACATTGAAAAACCACACCACAGCCAGGCAGAAACATATTTCTGCTGCAATGTACCTTAAAGGTTTTGGATTCATCAGTTCTCATTTAAATGCTGCTGTTTGATATAAAACAGCCTCTAAGTTCTCAGGAGGGACATATTCCTGTTTTAAAATCATAAAAACAGACCCACTTTGGCAGTAGTACCTAAAGTGTGATTCTGATCTGCAGAATGACTTCTTAAAATGGCTCCTTTGTATTTCCAGGTCTGGTTTCCATGTATGTATTGTAATGTATTTTTAATATATATAAAATATACATATATTAAATATAATTCTATGTTTTGTAATTGTTTTTCCCATTTCATCATTGTTAGAATAAGTATGAGAATAGAAGAGCTGGGCTTTACTCTGTATTATCAAGTAAATTGTTCCCTTTTATACTTCCTGGGCTTTACTCTGTATTATCAAGTAAAGTATTGTAGTCTACAATATCCCTGTTAGCAAAAGGGACATCCAGCCAAACAAAACCGATGGAGATTTCTGCAGTTCTTCAGGACTGCATCTGTAAATACCATGTGTGAAAACTGTATTATGTAAATCATTTGGGCACAGACCTGAAACATCTCAAGATGCCATTTTCGTAGTCTATTTACAGAGCAGAACTACATTTTTCCAGATTACAAATGCGTTTTCTTTTGCCAACCAGTCCTTGAAAGCAGGGAAAGAAAACAAAAGACTCTTGTATGCCTCCGTTTTTCTGGGAATTCACGGCTGCCGCCAGCCATAGGTAACTGCGTGCAATGCCAGGCCACAAAAAGGCTTAATGGAAGCACCAGGACATTATCATTAGCTTTACACCATGCCCTTGACACTGGGGTCGGGGGTCTCATGTGAGCAGCAGTGAGTCAAACAGCTCCACTCTACTTCCCTTTCAAACAAGCAGAGGTCACAACAAGAAAATACATCCTTGTAATCTTCCCAGATAGGATATTTGCCAACATAGGTCAGGTTTTTAAGTCAACAACCATTAACAGAGCCCCTTTAATCCGATATTTGTCTTTCACTTGAAAACTGAAATTCCCGATTGACAAGAAAACACTGATGCCTAAATACTGCTGTAAATTAGGCACTTTGATTTTCTCAGTAAAGTCCATGACAAAACTAAGCAATGCAATTCTGTGTCAAAATCATCCCTACTAGTGAGCCCACATAACTGCTTGTTTATTAAGTGTTAGTAAGTTGCCACGCTTTATTGAGTTCATGTTGACAGACAGGAGTGTTTGAGAAAGTACCTTCAGTCCAAGCCAGTAAGCCCAAATGACTGCAACAGCATGCTTACGCCTAGCCTCCTCCTTCAAGCGTTTCAATTCCCTTCGAGCCTAAAAGGTTTAGATAGTGAACAAAAGAGACAGCCCGATGCAGATAGCACAATGACTAGGAAAAGGCTTCTCCCAAACAGAACAGCCAACTTACAACTGAGATAAGGAAAGATGGAAGAACAGCGTTTAACCTTTACAACCCAAAGTGTCAGTGTGAATTGGTGTGAAGCCACCTAGGAGGGGAAAAAAGCCTCCAGTGCTGCTTAGGGGGCACGTACAGATAAGAATTTTGCCAGCCCCACTGTTCATTATCAGTGTTTCCATCTTGTCCTCGGTGCACACCTCGCAATCAGTGGTAAGGATCTCATAACTTGATTCTAATGGAGAACTTTGCCTGCAGTTGCATGATCAAAATGATGCGTATGAAAATCAAGACTTACTCAAATCTCCCTGTATAGTCACGTCTTCTGTCAAGTGCCTGGGCAGAACGGAATCAACTCTGAAACTACGTATGTAGCAATGAATTATCAGCACTCTATTGAGGGCTTTTATTCTGGAGATTATTTTTTATTTTGATCTTTATGTACTTTTAAAAAAAATTCTCCAGCTGAGATGAAGGTGTAACCCCCCCAAACCTAGTGCCTTCCTCAGGTACAAAGAGGTAGGCACCTACCTACATTCCATCAATCATTCCCATTTTAGGAAAGCAATTTGCAAGGTATTCTACAAACAAAGGTGTGGGCAATGTAATAGAATGTCACATTTTAGGAGATACTGATACATTTGTTATTCAGTTATCTGATGATAACAGTCAAGTACAACAAAGAGTTCCAGTATTATAGGATCAGCAGCTCTAGCAATAGATCTGCAGTTCTTAAGTTCTAAGTTGTCAAACAGACTCGGGCCACAGCAGTTCCAGCTGCTGCCATTGACACTCTTCTGATGTTGCTAGAAAGGTGAATCTGCATTAGATGTAGGCTTTCATAAAGAATATGCTTTCACTCATCTGCTTGGGACAAAAGCTCCTACTATACAGCACTGTAAAAACAAGGACTGCTCAGTATTTGTCTGTTTTGTGAAAAGGAAGGAAAATGAGTACTTGAGGTCTACAGATTTTTTTTTTTTTTTTTTTTTTGGTAAAGCAAGCAATCTCTGAAGATAACTTCATAAACTTTTGTTTTAAATATTCCCCTGAGAAAAGACAAAACATCACACCAATAACAAGTTTTATCTTTTATCAGATACTGTAATTCTTTTTCTCATATTAATTAAATTTAGATTATCTTTAGAGTTATGTATATGATTATATTTAGATTACATATTTAAGGAATTTAAGGAATAAGGAGGTAATTTTTCATTAAATTATCCAAATCTACTAAATATTTAAATGCGGAGCTTGAACACAGTTAATGCTATTGCATTGCTTTCTGGATGTGTCCTTAATTCTAAAGAATATCTTAAGCCTTAAGGTTAAGGGGAGTAAATATCACTTCTGCAGTACTGAACAATTTTTTGGGTGAAAGGAACTGTGGTTAAAAATACAATAAATTATCAATGTACTGCATTTAAGCAAACATAGAGGAAACAGTATGTCTGTCAAATTACATAGCTACCTAAACATCAAGATAGAACTGAAAAGATGCAAAATCACTCTAGTGTGAGGAAAAATCTGTACATGTGTGTTTGGATTCCCAGGGTTGCCATTTCATTAGAAATCTAATAGGTTTATATTAAAATAGCAAAGGTGAAACTCAGCATTATACTCCAGATGTAATTTGAGCACATTTCTCTTAACTAGTTGTCAAGGTGTTCTGACAACACCCTCCCTTCCCTCCCCCCGTAAATAATAACTGGAAAATGTTTTAAACAATGTATTTACTGAATTTAGTTTTCAACTCAAATTACAAATTTATTAATTGAAACCAATAAATTTTTGGCCTCTAGTGAACAGCATTTCAAATGTTCACATAACCCACAACTGCAGGCTGGGGATTAGGAAGAATCTTTCAGTGGGACTTTGCTTCTGAAAACAAACAGCTGATGCTGGAATTCCTGGGATTTTTCTGGGGCTGTAAGTTTAGAATTGAAAGCTAACATCATTTTCTGCTAAAAGATCAGGTCATAAAACCGTACTTTCCTTGTACATACTGAAATTTTCTTACTGGTTCAAATCACAGACAATTAAACCAATTAAAACTAAATTTAGTAAAACTTGGTAGCATTGGTTTGAACTTATAAATGAAGACTGTCCAGGGTGCAGAATATCCAGCCTGGTGAAAATCTCAACTGGATCACTAACACAGTGTCACTGAAAGCACTTGTTCAGGGCGGGGGGCGAGGGGAACACACCAAAAAACCCCAACCTTCTCTCCCCCCTGCAAACCATGCTTTGCACATTTACATGTAGCTGAATGCATTTCCTATTTCGAGGATGCTGTAGTCTAGTAATTTTTAATCTAGTCTAATGGCTTGTTAGTGCAAATGACTACCGGGTTGCCATGCAAAGAATTTCCTACTCTATAAAAAACTGACATACAGAATGTTGTCAGATTTATTAAGTGTGGCATGAATGGAGATGGAAGGAATCAATTATCATGCTCTATTATTTTAGTCAATTGTATTAGTCATTAATTCTCACTATTTACTACTGATAAATGTTGATATTGTTGGGTGATGAAGGGGGGCATGTGATATGTGCATGAAGTACCTTATATCCAAGCCAGTAAGCCCAAATAACAGCAATAGCATGTTTATTTCTAGCCTCCTCCTTCAGTCGTCTCAGTTCCCTTCGTGCCTGTGATGCATTTGAAAATGGGATATAGAAAAGCTTAGGAAAGAAAAGGTTACTGCAAGTTCCCAATGGTGCAAGAAAGAAAGAAAGAAACCAGTCACTACACACAGGAAATATTAAAGCGTGCCCCAGCTTCCCAGATTGCACTAGCTAAAACATGTTAGCAGCAAAAAATAGCAGTTTAAGCCACTGAAAATATTCACAGGTAACTTTATCCTGAAGGGCCTTCTTCATTTTGTGTAGAGACAATTACGTGCACAATTTGTTGCCATTTTCTTACCTGGGTACCATGCCAATAAGCGGCAATTATTGTGGCAGCCTCATTACAACGCTTCTGATGCTTAAGCTCCCGAAGAAGTTTCCGAGCCTGTAAACAATTCAAAACATTATTTTATTCAAAAAATGACTATAATTTATTTATTCTTGTAAACTAAGGCATTGCAACCTGTAAATCTAGGCAAAACCAAAAACCAGTGCCTCCAAATCCCCAAGCAAATAAATTCATAAATGCCACGCAGTCTGACATTCACTCTTTCAGGGAGGATTCTGTGCACAAGTGAGAGCTTGGGACCGGCAGTTCAGGGGATCCTCATTCAATGTTTAGTTTTCTGCCAGATTTGCTGCATCACCTGAGATATCTATATGTCTGTCTGTACACTGTCAACAATACTTTTCCTCCACACACACAGTATATGTCTTATCCATTTAGACTGCAATAAAGAATAAATCACAAGTAGATTGCCTGGCTTCAGAGCGCACTAAAGGCTGCTGTCATCCATGGCAGTGCTGCCGCAAAAGAGCATGTTCTCTGATGACAAACAGAAAACCATAACTCAAGATGAGATGATGCTTTTACCCAGTTTTCTTCAAATAACGCTCATGGGAAAAGACAGCACATCACTAGTTAGACTGAAAGGATATTTTTAATTAATTTAAGCAAAATAATAAAGACAAAGTAAAAATCAAGAAAAATAGTAAAACCAAATCATGCTAGCTTATTGCTGGCAAACTTTAAAACCTTCTGAGCAAGAGAGGGCTGTTTATAGGATTTTATAGCCTGAGCTACATGCAAATGTCCCAAACTCACCTCCTCTGTGGCAAAGACAAGTCGGCTAAGGCACAGCCACAGCTCAACAGACAGCAGGCATGAAAGTCAGGAGGGTCAGTGCACTTGGAATCTGTTTTCTGACCTGCTCCTTACCTCACCATGCAGACAGAGCCACAGTAACAGGACTCACCTTCCATCCTCTGATGTAGGACTGTACTATAATAGTCGAACTCTTTATCTTCTGATACTTTTTTTGTTGCTGTATTGGAAATAAATACGTGATGCTTAGAACAGAATATTGCAACTGTAAAGTATTGTATAATGAAATTTTCATTACTCATGCTTAACAATGCTATTAGGGATACAAGTGCTAAATGTAAAAACTGAACAAATTTTGTGAAACACAGTGAAACAACGCAATACCCAGTGACCAAGGCTCAGCCCATTCCTGGCTATTCTGGAGCAGGGAGAGTCCCAAAACCACAATCCCAGAAAAGAGATAAGAGCTCAAGAGTCCAAGACCCAACCAAGAGAATGAGATGAGCCTGAGAGAAGGGTGACCCAGAGAGAGGAAGCAAACTTCCAAGCAGATCCTCGTCTATATACTGGGCATGCTGCGCATAATATGGAACACACCATTGGCCAATTTGGGTCTCAATCCTAAGCCTAAAGTTGAATCCTAGGCTAGTAACTGGGGCTGTGCTCCCTCCCAGCTTCTCCTGCCCCTGCAGACACTGGCACAGCAGAGAAGCTGAAAAGTCCTTGACTGTCCTGGCATTTGTTGCTGTATTGGAAATAAATACGTGATGCTTAGAACAGAATATTGCAACTGTAAAGTATTGTATAATGAAATTTTCATTACTCATGCTTAACAATGCTATTAGGGATACAAGTGCTAAATGTAAAAACTGAACAAATTTTGTGAAACACAGTGAAACAGCGCAATACCCAGTGACCAAGGCTCAGCCCATTCCTGGCTATTCTGGAGCAGGGAGAGTCCCAAAACCACAATCCCAGAAAAGAGATAAGAGCTCAAGAGTCCAAGACCCAACCAAGAGAATGAGATGAGCCTGAGAGAAGGGTGACCCAGAGAGAGGAAGCAAACTTCCAAGCAGATCCTCGTCTATATACTGGGCATGCTGCGCATAATATGGAACACACCATTGGCCAATTTGGGTCTCAATCCTAAGCCTAAAGTTGAATCCTAGGCTAGTAACTGGGGCTGTGCTCCCTCCCAGCTTCTCCTGCCCCTGCAGACACTGGCACAGCAGAGAAGCTGAAAAGTCCTTGACTGTCCTGGCAGCAACTGTAAACCTCAGTATGTTATCAGCTTTCTCTTCAGCACAAATCAAAAACTCAGCCTCACACTAGCTACTGTGAAGAAAGTTAATTCTGTCCCAGCTGAAACCAGGACATTTGACCAAGCAGATCAGAGCACAGATTCTGTGTTCAGCTGGAGGGGAAACAAAGCGCATCAACAATGCTGCATGGACAATGTCCCTCTCTGTTTACAGAATCACCAAGTTCATGGTCAGCAGCACAAAAGTGACATGGATTAAATACTAACAGTAACAGCTTTATTTGTTCTTACCACCAACAGACTAGCATACAAACCATCACAAATGTTCTGATCTGTTAGCTAAGCTTTTTACCATCTTTTCATATGACTCGTGCTGTTCCTAGTACCTGCAGTGCCTTTATAATACCAAATGCTGGTGATAACTTAGGAACAGGAAAAAGAAAACCCATGGATTCCTGAATGCTAGAATATAATCCAAGTGTGCCAGTTTGAACAACAGATTTCCTGGACAGATGAGCATTTTCCTTCTAAAAACCTCAGTTCTCTAGCAGACCAGTGGTTAGTATAATACTAAATGAACAACAATTGACAGACTTTGCAGGAAGGCTTTTAGACTCCACATTCAGCCCACTCAACTACAGTGAATGTCCCTGCGAGCAAGCTAGAAAAACTCCCCTCTAGGCCACATTCATGCCATGACTGACATCTGTCATGCCTTGCAAGGGAACAGACAGGCGAGTGTCTGCAGATCTTCTAGCCGAGCCTCCAGCACAAGGACTTGTCAAGAAGATTAGTTCATGCAAGGGATTCCTTATGAAACCTCCCAAATCACAGTGCCCAACAGTCATGTTGGGTTAGGAGAAGGGTGCCCTCCATCTACATGAAGAGGCAGAGTAAATATTGCTGCTGTCACCCGTAAGTCATTCTGAGGGTCTTGCATCATCCTGCATTCAAAGACTATTGCTGCTGTATTTCACCACTGAACCAGTAAAAGCCTATAGCTAAGAAATCAACAATGATGTGAATGTAGTCACATATTTGTTTTCATTTCTTTATATTAAAGTTGTGCCAAACTAGCCGTGGAAACTCCTCTTTGAATTCATTAAGGTTGCATGAGATCATAATGAAGCCATATGGGCACAATGCAATTCTGTACTGATGCTGTTTGTAGAAACAGTGCATTCAATCAGAGAAGTTCAGAGAGAAGAATTTTTACAGTGAAAAAGCATTTATTCATATTTTTTCCAAGTTATCTATACTTCTCTCTTATTACCCAAGATAACTGAACCAAACTCTAACAGCTTTCAAGATAATCAACAGAAGTACTTGTCAACTGAAAAACAGTGATTATCAGTTCTGCAACTTGCAGTTTAAGAAGATGTTTTATTTCCATATCATATATCTTATCAAGCTTTCGGATAGGCACACAACAACAAAACGCAGCTGAGATATTTAAGAACTGATTTAAAACTTAAAAACTATAAATCTTTTTTTGTCATAGAAGTCAATCCTAGTTACTGACGAAAATAAATGAGTCATATAATAGTATTGTTCAGTTCACGACACAGAATACCCAGTCTACAAACAGACTTGAAACTGGTTTAGAACTGTATCAGTGACTACTGAGCTACGAGTCTTATAAGCTATAATTAAAATAAACCCCTGGGATCCTCCCAAGCAGCATTCTTGAGCCTCGAATGCAAAGGTTCCAAATAAGGCAAAAATACAAAAAGCCTGAGGAATGACTGAATTCCGCAGAATGGCACATGTATATTACCAAACATTTTTTACACATTAACCATGTTTTGAGAGTGCCCTAAGTGCTGGGCAGCACAGCATTTTAGCTGAATGGAAAAGACCCAGCTGGGCCACAAAATCCTGCTCTTGCAGAGCTAAAGGATGCTGGTGAGCTTTTTAATTATTTAATCACAAGCACAAAGTAAATACTTAATAGTGGTCTCTAGAAACTAAATTTTCTTTTATTCTTCTTCCTATTTTTGGTACTTAAATACTAACATAAAATCGAATTCTTTCAACACTTCTCCATACGTATCAAGGAACAATACCATATGAGGGTTATGTGAAATATCATATCAAGGTTGTATGAAAAAACATATTAAACAATAAAAAGACTCCCCCCCCCAATTTAAGTATGGACAATATAAAAAAAAAAAAAGCCCCCCCCCCCCCATTTAGTAAGGATATTATCTTACCGCATATCTCCTGTACCAGGAAGCAATCACAATCTGGCTTTTTTTCATTAACAAGAAGCGTGTGCGGCACTTCCAGCCTCTATAAATCTTCTCAATTAGAGTAGCCAAATCCTCCAACCGCTGCTTTCTCAGATCTTCTAGTTTGAAGAGCTGGGTGTGGGGTTTTTTTAGGGTATTGTTTGACATTGGAAGAAAAACAGTAGGGGAGAAAAGACCAAAAAACCCATAAGCACAGCTATTGAAAGAGAAATCTCTTCTTTATTCAAGTCCCCCTTCAGACACCTTTTGGTTTATTCATCTTCGGAGCTATAGGCAGATACATCAACAGGGTTTCTGACAGATAAGTTACCACAACTCAGTGCACAAAAGTTACAGTAAATTTAGGCTGACAGCTGTGGTAGAGTCTTGATTCACACCAATTTTAATGGCTTTAACATTAAAAAGTGCCTTTTTAAATGCCATATTCCACAGCAATATATCAAAGCACTGTATCTAGAAAAATCTGCAGTAACCAGCTAGTGAATTATGCAGTTCATAAAAGGCTTTCCTCATGAAAGATGGCTTGATCTTGCAGGGGAAGACATTTTTCACTTACCGTTCTTGGGTTGCGGATGAATATCTTTGATCTACCAAACGAAAATTCTTCTGGAGGGATTTCCAATTCATTAAACAGTACCTCTACTCCAGCCCTAATAAGAGGTAAATGAGCTTAACAAACATGACCCCAGCTCTAAACTTCTTAGTTTACACATTCACAGATTAACTTATGGAAAGTATATGAAAGCATATTTTAAATTCTTAAATAGTGCTTGACATAAGAAGATTGAAAACCTAACTCATTTGCTCACTGGTTATTTAGCTAAAGGCAAGAATAATCACTGTAAAGATTCAGAATAATTTGATGAAAAAAGAGCAATTTTTATTTAACATCAGCAATGGCCTATTTTTTCCTCTTACATCTATAATGATTTTAGTTAAAAAAAAAAAAAAAAAGAAAAGGAAAAAGGAAGGGCTTTCACACCAACATCAAAATGTGAAACAAAGACTGACTGTGAAACAAATGCTAATGTTCCAAACTCTACCAACTTCATTTTGTACAAGTCAATAAAAAATAAGAGAGAAATTGCACAGAACTTTGTGAGGATTGTAACAATGCTATTGTTGTCAATACTGCACTTTCACCCTTATCTTGACAACCTAAAGATTTAAATTGTAGCTAAAGATGTTAATCCATTATGAAAGAAATTTAAACCACGCTATTGGTGGCCATATGTAAAAAGAAGAGAAGTTCATTTGCCTACCGACGATGTCATCTGTAAGAATACATGTGAATACTATGCAATTTAAAATTACATATCCAATACAATTGATTTGCAAGAGGTATTACCTCATAGTTGTTCACCAATCATTACCTAAAATTATTCTTGTAAGGACAGAGGAAAATTGCATCACTGTCTTCAAAGAAATGGCTGTTCCTACACTTGGAAAGTTGTTTATTAAAGATAAGTGTTCTTCTGATCATCCCAGACCTCCTCACCATTTTGATTCCATTCCAGTATCTCTCTCTCCCTCCCTCTTGCCCCTTCTTTCACGCCCAAATCAGTAAAGACTGAAATATATTCTAAACATAATGTGCTCTCCTTGCTCATATGCAAAATCTTTTCCATTACTAGATCAGTTCATCACTAAAATCATCTCCTTTGCCAAGTGACTGTAATTTTTAGCCTACTGAAAAGTATAGGTTTCCCAGTGAATGAACTCATCCCAAATCTGGAATGACATGCTAAGGAACAACATGCAAGGAAAACATTTGAGCCACCATGGCTTAGTTTTTAATTTCCTTTTAAAATACTTGAAAGTTCATTAAAAAAAAAATCATAATGTTTAAAAATGCTAATTTCAATCATTGTAAGGACAGGTAAGAATACTGATGTTTTCCTACCTGGCTGGCCCTCTCCAGTGGGGCCATGTCTGCTTGCACAGCATTTTGTACCTTTCCAGGCAAGGCTCATACGCCTGCCTGAACGCATAACCTGCCCTTCTGACCCGCACATTCTCCAGAAGACCGAGGTAGCGGATCTGGTGGCACACCAGGGCATCATTGAAAATGTGTGCAGCCTTTTTGTCATTGGGTTTGATGCACCTGGACAGGGAAATGAACAGGGACACTTGTTTGCAGCACTGTACATGTCAACAACTATTATTATGAGTTTAAACCATAGATTTCAATAGTTTATCTTTGAATATAAAGATTTTTTATTTTTTTAAAATTTGACAAATTTTTAAAATTCACCAAAGCTTTGCCACAGGGTAATTTACCTGATGTAGTTTGGATTTTTTGTCTGAAGATTTTTCATCAGGGTAGCAACCGATGCCTTGAACTGTGAACCTGCTGTTGGTGGTCTCTTTAGATTGATCTTAGCGGGGTTACCTTCTGGGAACAATGCTTTGATAAGAGAGTGACTGGCCTTCCACATGGCCTGGGAGAGGTCACGGTACAGAAGATCGTTATTTTTGTCAACAAATCCTTCCACCTGGTACATAACCTGAACGATACAGAAGAGTCTCATCAGAGCACATTTTGAACTGTAACATAGGCTGGTTCAAAACTGAAACAAGAAAATTATTTCTCCTCCTTTCTCACTATCCAAAACAAATGGAGGACAATTCAGCTTTCATTTTAAACACCTGGAAGACTTTTTGTTGGATAAAATTTCTGTGAACATGCTTCCTGAGAACGATGCATCTTCTCACACTGCTAACAGTTCCTTGTGCTGATCAATTCTGGTTTCTGAAATGGAAAAACCCCTTCTTCCGTGATAACTCTGATACCCCACTGCTTACCCCAAATCAACCTTTTTTTGGTTGACAAAAGGTTTTCTATCTCTCTTTTGAATCACAACAGCAAAAAAACCCCTTTCCCTTCAAAGTACTAGTGCTTATGTTATTTGCCTGACCAAAACAAGATATGAAGTATCACCTCTTGATATCACAGCAGCAAGCAGCTCTCTGTGCAGTCCTCCGGGGACGTTATTTTAAAGGACTTTTACCAGGAAAACAGTCCAATTACAACAAGCATGAATGCAAAGCTCTGACCTGCAGCTGGAGACCCAGGAGGCATCCAGGGGAACTTCATGCAGATCTCAGATTGCTATGGGCTTTTTTAATTTTTGAGGGTAGGGAATTTAGTTTAATTAAGTGTGACAAGTCATCTGCATGGTAATACAGATTCTTCAGCCTCGTGATTTCACAGTTCTGTGTAGCTACATATTATGTATACAGAATATTGAGTAAAACTAATACTGACAGAGCCATATGTTACACAACAGCAAGGGACTGTGAACTCAGGTGACATTTTTCTTTGGAGTACCTGTTTCTGTTTCTGGCAGGTGGGGTAAATGCCACTACTGAAAAAACTGTTCATATGAACTTTGCTTTTATTTCATAGAAGGAGAGTCAAACTTTTGTTGTCCAGTGACTAGATCAAAATGTTCTCAGCTGAGGATGGAAAAACAACATTCCTCCCAAAATAGGAGGAATTCACTGACTGCTCCGTTGGGTAAGTGAATGCCAATAATGATTGAAGACCCTCCCTGGCTGCTAAGACACAATCTGTTTGCAGTCCTTTTCAAAACACTATTTTCAATTCGCTTTGAAATTTGACAACCAAAGTATTAATGCCTGATAAATTATATGCAATTACAGAATCTTCTTTAGCAAATACATAAAGATAACGAATGGCTGCCTCAAAAGGCTGAAACTAAATTTCCAGCATGGTTTTGAATGAGCAAATTATCAAGGTATTCAAAATTGTAAAATTGAGAAAATGTTAAAAACTAGGGAAGTATTTAACAATCCTAGGAAAATGAAGCGCTTTCCCAATATTATTTACTCTGTGAAATTAACAGTTCAGTAGATTCAAACAAGAGGTATAGTTTCAACCCCTATGCTTATTTCTTTTTTTAAAATAAGTTGTCTCCTTTTTACAAATTTAATTATTTTGATTTTCAAAAAAAAGTCATACTGAATTATACATCAAAACCTGCTAGGCTTGTATTTATTCATAGTGCTTATGTTGTAAAAATCAAACACATTTGCAAGCCCTCTGTGTTGCCTTCCCTTCCATCTGTTTAAACACACAGCCTGTCAAAATAAACTCAGTTCCTTCAAATGTACAAAAACTCCACTTTCTCACCAACACGACTAAGGACTTCAGCTAGTTCAGTGACAAAGAACATGTTTTCCAAAATATCCTTCAAATGTGTGTGAATTTTTGTCATTCTAAACAACATTTTTTTCAGAGACTTAGAAGCACAAGCAGTTTACCCTCAAAGCACGTAGGACATCTCTCTCCTTTGCCGAAAGGAGAATAGCCCTTGATTTCAGCTAGAGCTGCATGATCTCTGAAAACCTTCCAGCCCAAATCATGAATGGCTTAAAACAGAAAAGATTAAGACAGGTCTCATTTTTTTTGATCAACTGTTGATTCAAGCAATTCTCCTCCATTACTGTAACATCATTTAATGATTGCAGAGCCTCCCCACTGTACCAAACCTGGACTTCACACAGGTCCAACACCCTCCACATACCACCTACTCCCCTGCTTCACCATGTACCTTGCCAGCGTAATGCTGAATCCTGAAGCAGCTGTGGGGCAAGGAGGTGTCGTTGAGGAACCGGGAGCACTTGCTCATCCTGCTCTCAAAATGCTGGTGAGTGGCACAGACTTGGTTCAGTTTTTCTAGAAAGGTGTCATCAGTGACGGTTCCTGGTCTCAGGCATTCTTCATCTAGCATGGCCAGGATTCCAGTTTGGTTCTGAAGTTTGAAGACAAGAGCTTTACTCTCTGTTTCGATCACATTTACATCAATGCATAAAAAGGAGATCGCTGTCTCCTGTTTGACTTCTGCTACACAGAAAAATGTTCTTCAAGCTATCTCAAAGTTTAGCCAGTTCTCTTTTCCTCAGTCCTACTTCCAACAGATTTTTTGACTGTTTTTGAAGGACTGCTTCCGAGATCTTAATCTCCCAACTTCTTTTTACTTGTGAACTTCATGTCATTTACTCAGACTGTAGAAACTCCAGCTTAACTGAAAGTACCCGGTTTATGGGTAAAATGAACAAATGTTTCATACTAATGGTTAAAAACTGTTCTTTGCTGATTGTTAAGGAATTTTACCTTTCTTGCCACACTAAGTCCCTAGGAAGTCCTCTTATCAGATACAAGCACTTGCTGCATGCAGTAAAAAGTCATTGAGTTTTCTAGTTTCCATATAAAAAGAAGTGTTATTTACAACATAGCATGTGATATCTGCTATTGAAAACAGCACTAAATGTAAACATTTCAGAGTTTGGTTTTTTTTTGTGTAGGTGCTGCTGAACATTTCTAAGCAAGTAATATATAGCCTTATAAAAAAATTAATAAAACAAACATTTACCATACAAAATAAGATGGCTAATACAGTGAGTGGCTTGTTTTATAAATCCAAGGTGCATGAGGACGCATACAGGTTTTAGAGCTAAATTCAAACCATGCATTAAAAAATTATTCAGAGAGATTCTTGAGTGTAACTTACATTTTCTATTAGGTCACAAATAATAGCATTGTTGAAATACTCAATGTGAGTCCATTCAATCCCCTGTAAGAAAAAAAATAAAAACGTATGGACAGGAAGACAATCGAGGGAACTTTTCTTCTAGGCAATTTAAATTATATTCCATTTAACTAAGATACTACTTTTGATTTGAATTCTATATGCTTACCAACGTTTTATTTATTAAGAAAGAAATGCAATAATCTACTACTAACATTATCTGCACAAAACTACTGTCCCTGAGCGGCTGCCAAACCCGCTCTTCATTCCTTTCCCCCACCCATGTCAGCTTCCCATGCACTCCCCTGGCACCCTGCCAGACTGCTCCCGCCACCGCCCGCCCCAGCTCTGCTCTGCCTTCGCTCCCACTGGTTATGAGGAAGTAAGATCACTGCACTGCAAGCATCTGAGATCCAAATTTCTAAACTCTTAGTTGTTGGGGGTTTTTTTTAATTGGAGGGAGAAAGATGGCTAAATTTAGATAAGACCATCTGAAAAATCCGGAGTCTGGCTGTTGTTCAGATATTCCCTAATATCCTAATTATTTTGAGTATCACCGATAAAATTTCCAGGATGAGATGCTAATGCAGCAGGAGGTAACACTGGTAGGGCAAAGGACTGGAAAAATAAAATATTAATTTCCTTAATTTGCATTCTGCAGCACATCTTAGAGTTTAGTTTTTTCAGAGCTTTTGAAATATCACTCAAGAAGCAAATTGCAGTAATGGTGTTTCAAGAGTTTTACCGCTGAATGCAAAAAGAAAAAAGACATGCCCAAACTTCATATTATCCTCAGGATTATAAGGCAGGAGCTTTATTCAAGTTTTAAAAATGTTTACCCAGAAAATGGTGTCATCCAATTTGATTATGGACAGCCTATCCCAGTTTCTATGGCTGTGAGCTGGTATTTTGTCTGAGCTCTGTATATCATGGGGAGTAATGCTAAAACCTGTTAAAACTTTAACTTGATGTACACTCACAGAATAACATCAAACATCAGACACTGGACTCCAAAGCACATCTGAAAATTTACCCATAAAGCTTACGCAGCTCCCTTCAATACTTAACTGAAAAGAAAAAAAAACACAACCTAGAACCAAAATCTATTTGTAGTTTCTTTTATCTTGCATGCTCTTGTTTCACCCACTCCATTTCCTTTTGAGACAGGATTAGCTGCAGCCACTGGTGAGGTGTATCCCAGATGCTGCTGCATAATCCAAAATACAGGCTAAGGGTAACGGCACTAATACCAGAAAGCAATATTAGTCTTCTAACAAATTGGCCCTTGCTCAGAACTGCCAGTCGTTGTGGCCAATGAGTGAGAGTTGGGTCTGCTTTATACCTGGAGAACTCATAATGTGAAACAAAACCAAAACCAACTTTTTTTTTGGTTAATGTGAGTACCACACAGTCCTACACAAACATGCTCCATGCCAAAAAAAATGCCTCTGTTCCCTGAAAGACGGTTCCAGCATGAATGCCTGTGTATCTTCATTACAGGGACAATGGGAAGAGGAGAGAAGGAAAGATCCATTAAGTATTACCTCTCGGATGTATTCCTCCTGCTCTTCTTTGAGGGTAAGTTCAATGAAGATCTGCTGCAACTTCTCATTACAGTAGTTGATAATGAATTGTTCAAAGCTGTTGTCCTGTCAGATAAAACATGTTTGCATTTGCTGTTGTGTAAACACCCTGCAACTCAGCTGGAGTAAGTTACTGCAGCAGCTGCAAGTCAACAAGCTGCTTTAGTAACTACTCCTTCCAGCTTTGCAATGCAATGGTTCGAGTAATATTTCATTGAGAAGGAGATTAGATTGGAAATTTTAGATTAAATCCTTCCCTGAGGCTTTCTCCATTGAGAGGGACAAAAACTCTGTAGGTTTATATTTGCGATGCCTCTGTATCAATTCCTTGGGACAAGTCATAAGGAGGCCTGAGGTCTCATGGAATAAACAACAACAGTTTTGCCTGCACTCATCTGTCCCCATGTGTAAAATGTAGTCTCCTGCATTAGCTCTTTTCACCCAGGCTCACTCAGCAGCCAGTGAAGCATCCTATTTCACTACAGACTGAGGCCCGAGCTGCTATTCTGGTGGCAGTGGAGCCTGGGTTAAGAGATCATTGACTCCAGAGGTCAAACCACCTCCTCCCTGCCAATGAACTGCTCCTGTAACTGCCCCCTGAAATGATGGGAATTAAAAGAACTTTATCAACCAAAAATTCTGAAAAAGGGTAACTCATATAAAACTGTGTTTGGGAGCAAGCAGGCACGTGGCCCTTTGCAGAGAGCACCAGGGAAGGGAGCAGACCCCAGGAGGAGGGGTGGGCAGCGGGATGGCTGCTCGGTGACTGCAGTCAGGGCAGCGTGCTCCATCCCAGCCACACAGCAGGATGGCTGCAGGAGCAGGGCACGTGTCAGCATCCAAAACGATGGCTGCTGCAAGCCCCTAAGTACAAAAAGCCCTTGCACTCCAGCCAACTGCAGTTTTATGGCTCACATCACCAGGACCAGGACTGCAGTGTAAAAGCTGTGCGTCACCGCTTCATCTCCATTATCTTAAATGGGTGCCGTTTGGAGGCCAGGTGCCCATTCTGAGGATAGGTTTAAAATTCCCCCTTCAAAGAAAAAGGGAACAGCAGCTTCATCATTTTTTTCCAGTGCTTGAAAGAGTCATTAATATTGTAAGAATTCCATACATGTATCTGCAGAAATAACTGCAATCAAGAGTAATTTTGGATATCTGCTGCTGGTCTTCTGGGCTTTGGGATTGTGAGGTTCCCCCTGCCTGGTCTTTCTTTTTTTTCCCCCCCACTTTCTTAATTACTAGTCATCAAGAACACTTTGGTTATTTAGGAAGCCTGAAAATTTGCAGGACAAACCCCTATGCCTTTTTACAATACGAAATAAATCTGCTATACAATACCTGCAAAACTCAAGTTATGGTGATAGAATTTTTATGACTAAGGGCAGCTGCAATCATTTAAATGTTTAAATTAAGGATCTGGTTGCAAAAATGAGATTAAAAACACACAAGCAGATTAGAAAATATTGAGGTAGCACAAGATTACTTTTATCATTTTAATTTAAGGTAAAGCAAAATCATTAGCTGATCACCAAACTTTCTCAGCCACAAACTTTGCCCCTCACACCAACTGCAATTATCAATCAGAGATTGCAAAACTGGCATAGCTCTAGATGCAAAAGTTAAAATTTGGCATGCATCAAAGTCAGCACTGCAAACAAGTCATACTTACTGAATTCTGTTGCAAAAAAGATTACATAAACTGCAGTCAGTACTTATACTACTTCCATAACAACACAGAATATATCTATTAGCATTTATTTGGCGTACCAAGTAGATCAGTCATCTTATCAGTCTTATATTTGTATGTCACTGCAAATGTGAAGTACTACAAAAATTTTACATATTACTTCTTTGTAGATTAGTGTATCTTTAGATACTATCCAAAGATTATCCAGTAAACCAAGGGACTGAGAGACATCAGAGTGTAACACAGAACAGCATTCTTGCATTGTCATGTCTCTAAATCACCATGTATCTTTTGTCTCAAAAAGCCCTATATATATATGTGTGTGTGTGTGCATGTATACATAAAACTGTTGCTATATAGATGTCAGCAAAGGGAAAGGAGAGTACTGGAAGAATGAGTAAAAGTTCATTTGACACACTCAGATAAGGCCATAATTTCAGATATACTGAGTTTGAAGTAAAAGGACCCCAACTGACACATCACCTTGGGAAAAAGGAAGGGTAAAGCACTCTGCATCCTCCTGCCAGGCACACACCACCCAGTGCAGAAAGATTGTTTCTCCAAACCATGTTATTCCAATTCCAAGGACTAGAGGACTTTTTTTGCTCACATATTATACAGAGCCTTCGTCTTTAAAAGAGGATGGAAACTGGCCTGCAAATCCAGCTAAACCATATAACTAAAAGGTCATTAACAATACAATGAAGTAATTGCTAGATGCTTTCCTGATTTGCTATGTATCTGTGATATTTATGGTTTGCCAAAGAAAGGCAAACCAAAATCCACAGAGTTCTTCACAAATCATTCACTTTAAGCTATGAAATTCTATTTGACATTGCCAAGCCACTGAAAACTGCTATTCCAGAAAAAAAGTAATTGAAGAGCAGTTGCGATTTTGGTCTTTATGTATGATACAGAGCAAAAGGCTAACAGTTGATTACAGCAAAGAAAATGAGGAAAAATGTTTGAGATTACTGAATTTCTCAAAACACTTTGACCAGACCAGAAGCTATTCGGTACACTTTAGAAAGAGGCATGTCCTACAGGTTTTAAGAAACACTGTATGAAAAAACTATTAGAGTGCTTATCTCCAGACATATCTGAATACGGCAACAGAGATTCTGTGAGCTTATTCTCCCTTATTGTATACCTATGATTTTTAATAGACCATAGATGAATGCTTACAAACCATAGATGAATGCTCACAAATGAATTGTCTCCCAATATTTTAATCAAGGCTCCTAGAAATTAATATGATAGAACTACTAGGGATCTTAAGGACTTCTGACATTGTTTTTCAGAAGACAATGGAGAATGGTTAATATCAGTGACAGCACATCACTAGTTCAGGAGAAATAGGCTGGGAGGGCCCAGCCATCAAGAGACTGTACTTGTTCCTTATGCGAGCATTAAGCACCAAAAAGGGTTTTGACAAACACAGAAGCAGCATGGTCAGACTCAAAATTTTAGGAAGAGTTAGTAAATTCAAATAATCTTAGGAAATTTTAGGAAAAAAAAAAATAAGTCCAGCATTTCTCAAAAGCTGGAGAGTGACTGCTTCCCTTCCCGGCTTTAATTCTGCCACTTTAATGTTGAGAGCACCGCTTCAATCCCTGCATTTTTATAGCAGCATTTCAAGCTATCCCTTTGAAACCACTGTGGAATACAAAATCTAACCTTTAGGGAAGAAAAAAACACACTCTGTCTCTCATATTACATTAAAGGAGCTGGGAAACAGAATGTCACCTAAGATAGGCCTGAAGTCATGTCAAATTTACAGATACAGATCAACCAAACAACTTCAGCTTATCCTCTCAATCTTTTATCAGGTGCAACAATAAATTTAGACAAGTAGAAAAATGCACTGACAAAAATCAAAGCCCACTTCATTGTGGTTTTCATTTCACAAATAATGGTGTCTTGCTTATACAGTTTTATACTTTATCTAATTAAGTTAAAAGTCTCTTACTGTTCTCAGACAGAAATTTGGCCACATGCTGATGCTGAGTATCACTTCTTGCATTAGATTTACAAACACAAAATATCTAAAATAGGGCATTTTTCTTATGAAAACCCAGCTACCTTCTAACTCTCTCTCCCCACAGAGAATTTAAATTAACTTTTGAGTACCCAGACTCCAGTGATTTCCAGAGACACTGAGGCAATTAAGATACCTACTTAAAATGAAAACTGGGCACTTTTCCATACTAGTAGGTAGGAATAAATTCTTATCTTCCACCTGCCTAATAAAGTCCTAGTTAATTGTTACGTTACCTTGTGTCCTCTAAATTTCACTGGTTTCCCCAAATCAAGCATATGTTATTGATTCAAATCTACAGACTCAGCTATATTATCAATCACACCTATACAAGGTGTTTCTCAATATTTCCTCTTCCTTCTTAATCTCTCATCACACCAGTTCTTGTTCCAAGCCAATTCAAAAATCTACATATGGCTTAGCCTACAACCACACTGCCAAAACAGCATTCAGCAATGCCTTTTCAAATACCATATATGAACATACACAACTAAAAAATACATAAGAAGTATTTAAAGGAAAAGCATTATTTACAACAAAACCTAAACATTTCAAATCATGAGACTGTTGAAATCAACAGAACTAATGCCGTTAAAATGAACTTTGTGATCAATATGCGGAGGGAAAAAGACACGCAAAAAGTGATGCTTATATAGCCCCGGAAAGTAACTTTTTTCAACATCAACGCAACTCCAGGCATCAGAAGACCTCCTCCTGACATAGGCAGGTCAACATCAACGCAACTCCAGGCATCAGAAGTCTCTGACCTCCTCCTGATATAGGCAGGAGATCCCAGGTAGTTCCATCAGGTCCCTAGGCCACTACTGAGGCTGCTAGACAGCAAAAGTAATGATGATAAAAGACCAACATACTCACTTCACTGAGATGAATGGTGGAATGAATGGTGAAACCAACCAGCAAATTTAATTTATATCCTACTGTGGTGTCTGGGGATAGGGATTTTTATGTATGACCACAGAAGCATATGAGTTTATGAGATGAAACTAAGAAATATAAATGTTAGAAAATGAAAATCAGCAAAATGCGGATAGTGCATTTAGAAGCATATGAGTTTATGAGATGAAACTAATATAAATGCTAGAAAATGAAAACCAGCAAAATGCAGATAGTGCATTTAAGAAAATTTTAAAAGACACTATTTTTATTTTAGAAAGCAATGAGCTGCAGGTGACTCACTTATAACAGTTTTTAAAATTTTTTTGCAAAGTTAGTGAAGATGCTATCAGTATTTATCCCTTACTTTTCTGTTTACATATACAAACATTCGAATAATCAAACTCAACTGGAAAATATCTCATGTAAACTTGAATAAGCTCA